TCTCTTTATCTGATAGTAATAATGTAGCCATTACTGCTTTTTAAAAATTGTTTGCATAATATATGTTTCTATCTTTACTTTCCACCTGTCTATGAACACTCATAGATAGCATATGGCTGGGGTTGTTTTCTTATCCATGTTGCCAATCTGTCTTTCAGGTTCCTTTATCCTTCTCACTTTTTTTTTTTTTTTTTTTTTTTTTTTTATCCTCACCCGAGGACACTTTTTCCTTTTTTTTTTGTACAGATAGAGTGGGAGGGAGAGAGAGAGAGAAACATCGATGTGAAGGGACACATCGAGTGGCCGCCACCCGCACGACCAACCAGGGCCGGGGACAAACTGCAACCAAGGTACGTGCCCTTAGCGGGAACCGAACCCGGGTCTCTCCGGACCGCAGGTCGACACTCCAACCGCTGAGCCAAACCGGCCAGGGCTATCCTTCTCACTTTTAAAATATAGTTATCTTACGTATTTCCTCTACATACATTGAACACCACATCAGGTGGTATTGTGACTTTTGATTCAACCAGAAAACATGGGTAAAGAAACTCAAGAAGTGAAGAAGAATCTATTTGTTTACTTCTGTTTTTACCTACTTTGTTAGTTTTTCTTTCGGAAGGTCCTGGCCTTCTCTGTTTTCTTTTAGTTCGGAGAGCTTCCATTAGCCATTTTTAAGTATAGGTCTCAATAAATTCTGTTAGTTCCCTTTCGTCTGAGAATGTCTTTATTTCCCCTTCATTCTTGAAGGATGGTCTCAACACATACATGATTCAAGGTTGCCATTTCTTTGCTCTCAGCAAAGGTGGCACCTTTCCTGGCCTTCATAGTTTCCTTTCTAGACAATACTAAAGTAGAACTTGAATTGGTACTCCTTCTTGGTTGTTTCTCCCAGTTTTTAAATCTTTAAGATTTTTCTTAGTCTTTAATCTTCAGAAGATTAGTATGGTGTATCTTGGTATGGATTTAGGGTGGGGGAGCTTATCCTATTTGGAGTTTATCAGCTTCTTAAATCTGTAGGTTTATATCTTTCACCAAATTTGGGGTTTTTTCAAGCCATTATTATTTTTAATACATTTCCATCCCATATTTTCTCCTCTGCTTCTGGGACTCTGATATACAAGTATTAGCTCTTTTGACATTGTCCCACTGGTCCCTGAGACTCTTTTCCAGTCTGTAGTTCAGGCTGAGTACATCTTATTGATCTGTCCTCAAGTCCCCGATCGTCTGGCATTTCCACTCTACTATTGAGTTCATCCAAGTTTTTTATTTTACAATAATTTTCCACTTCTATACTTTTCATTTGGGTATTTTTCATAAATTCTATTTTCTTGCTAAGATTTTTTTTTTCATTTTCATTTTTAAAGTATTTGTAATTGATTGTTAAAGCACTAAAGCACTTTTTTTTTTATCCTCACCCAAGGACATTTTTCCATTTTTTGTTCAGACAGAGTGGGAGGGAGAGAAAGAAAAACATCGATGTGAAAGGGACACATTGAGTGGTTGCCACCCACACAACCCAACCAGGGCCAAGGACAAACTGCAACCGAAATATGTGCCCTTAGCGGGAACTGAACCCGGGTCTCTCTGGACCACAGGCCGACGCTCTAACTGCTGAGCCAAAACAGCCAGGGCAAGCACTTTTATTATAACTTCTTTTAAATCCTTGTCAAATAAATTCTAACATCTGAGTTATATATTGGTATTAGTTGATTGCCTTTTTCTTATATAGATTGGAGTTTTCCAGGTTTGGGGAATAATGAGAGTGATCTTCTATTGTATCCTGGGCATTTGGGTTTATTATACTGGGCCTCTCTTAATCCTATCTATAGCTATTATCTTAGCAGGTAAGAATCCAGTGTAGGTGTATTGCAAAGATTCCTGCTGTTTTGGGGGGTTTTAGTACCAATAACAGTTGAGTTTTCTGAGCCTTCGCAATACTATTCTGATCTGCTGTTTTGGGGGTGTTCCTGGGTTCCTGTCCAATCCACGCTAATGTCTGCTGTGGGCTAACGGTGCTTCCCTGGGCTGCATGGTGTCGCTGGGCCATCTTCTGCAGGCGGGCAAGCACCTGGGTTTCCTTATGCCACTATGAGGAGGGCAGGGAGACACAGGGCTTCACTGCTGCTGCTAATGAATTGGGCCACCTGGTGCCCTGGGGTGGAGGTGGGGTTGGGGGTACCCCGCTGGGTCTCTATTGGGTTTCACCTTCCCTGTACTTTAGAAGAGAAAGCAGGCTTTTCTTTCTCTCCTGTCTCAGGCCTGTTGGTGGTTCTGGGCTGCAGGCCTGTCCAGAGTCCAGTCTGGGGTACATGGGAGATGAAAAGGAAACCCAGGAAACTCACCACACTATTGTTCCTCAAGGCCTGAGGTCCCTAGTCAGCCCACCATCTTCTTTCCAGCTTGCAGCGTCCTTTGAGCATAGTCTTTGAAATAAATTTCCAAAGTATTTAGTTACATTTAGAGGGGAGGAGACGGGAAAAGTGATCCTACACCTTGTTCGGAAACCAGAAGCCTGACTTTTAAAGGAAGCAATCAATGGTTTGAAACTGTATTCAAAGGGCAGGACAAAGTAGAGTAAGAAATTAATCTGTATTAACTCCACCAGATAGAAAATGCTTGTTGGGCCCTGGACGGTTTGGCTCAGTGGTTGGAGCGTTGGCCTGCGGACCAGAGTCCCGGGTTCGGTTCCCGCTAGGGGCACGTACCAAAAAATAAACAAACAACAAGAAAATGCTTGTTGGTTCTGAACTGTACAATTTAAGAATGGGCTTTGTGCATATGCTGGTCTGTAGTTATTAAATAAATTGACAAGTGCTATCATTTTTTTGGATGCACGATCCTGTTTGGTGGCATAAATGATATGACACTGATAAATGGGTACAACATGTTGATGGGCCACATGTCTTAAAACTTGTATGTATTTGAAAATACAGTGGTACAAGCATGATCGGCTAATGTTTAACATAGTTGAGCACTGCCTGTGATGGACGTATGGTTATAACGTTCTTGAACCCATCTTCTACAAGGAGTGGAGTGGGTGGCAGGGAAGGCTACACAAATCCCTGGATCAAGGATGGCAAACAGGACTGACTCACTGGCTAGTGCTGCTCAGTTCACACTGGATACTGTGTCCTGAAAGATCAGAAAGCAGTGCCTAGATCAGCAGGAGAGTTCTGTGATCAATTAGTAATGCCTGCCCTGAGTGAAGACTGGAAGACTGCAGTGTAAATGCCCACCCATTGAACATGCCTGACCTAGAATAGTCCTCAAGAGTTCACATGATCTCTGGTGGTAGACCCAGGCAGAGAACTTATCTGAGTTTGAAAGTCCAAGGCAGGGGGGAAAAGGTACATCTCGAGGAGTATGTAAGAAAGAGATTTCTTGGTGTGGAGGCCCAGACTGATGGACTTTTGTAAAACTTTTGCCCAGGAGCTCAGAATATATAAACAGCTGGAATGGTAGTTGGAATTGCATTTACACACATTCGACCAATATAATATATTTGTAAGCAGATACATTTTTTTTCAACAACACTTTTCTGCTTTTTACAAACAACAGAAACACTTTAAAAATGGACCTCTGCTTCCTGGGCCCTTTTCATTCCGCTCCCACAGGTTTAGTAGCAAACAGCTGTAGACACAGCTTGTCCTAAGGATGGAGGAAAAGCTACTTTGACAGGAAATAGAGCAGGCACCACATTTCAGTGCTTTGTTTCACAATGTACATAAAGAGAATTATGACCATTTCATCTGACAATTATGTCAAAGTATTAAGAAGCAGAAAATGTCTGTTGATTAGCATGAAATACAAAGAAAAAAAAGGTCATCTAGTGCTCAACCACTGTGTTCCTACGCTGGAGGAAAAACCACCCAGATGGGCCTGGCCGGTGTGGCTCGGTGGATTGAGCATCGTCCCATGGACTGAGAGGTCCCAGTTTGATTCCTGGTCAGGGCACATGCCCGGATGGCAGGCTCAACCCCCAGTAGGGGGCATGTAGGGGGCAGCCAATCGATGTTTCTCTCTCACATCAATGTTTCTCTCTCTCTCTTAAAAATCAATAAAAATATACGAAGAAAAAAAAACACCCAGATAGGACTTGCTAAGAGATGGTCAGGATCTCCACCAAGGTGCCTCCCTAGGCAGTTTTTCAAGAGTAAGTTCAAGAGTGTCTTCTGCCTGAGAGCGGACTTTTGATCACGGCTCTCCTGTGAAATACACACAACTTGCATATGCCGTTCTCCCTGCAAGGGGCAGCGGCCCCTCCCGCCCTGGTTCGATGTGAGACAGCTCAAGACTAATTTCACCTGCTAAGAGGCCAGTACTCTGCAAGTGCAAAGAAGTCCTCATCCCTTTGCTAGAAAGGTCAAAAGACGTGATCCTGTTAGGTGAACCTACCAGGTTAGTGAGCTAGAAAGTTGCAAATGTATCCTTGTGTAACGGCAAAATGAAAATGTCTACATGGGCAGCGAATCTTTTCCCTGGTGCTTCACCCTTAACCTGGCCGCCTTTTCTTCTCATGAGAAAAAGAGCTTGAAAATTACATACATAAGAACCTCTTTTCAGTATTAGAAGCCATAGCCACACTGCATATTACCGTAAATTCTTGCTGTGAACACATTCCTCACTTGTAAGTCAATTATTTTACAGGTAGCCTCAATTACAGGACCACAAAAAGAACAAAGCAGTGATTAATGACCATCTCTGGTATTAGGGAGACTTGGGCTCAAATACTCTAGCTCTGCCATTTATCTAAAGCTGTGTGAGCTTGAATATGTTATTTAAACTTTCTATGCCTTGTTTTTCTTATCATATAATGGAGATGATAGAATCCTACATTATAGGCTTGGAATATTTGTCAAAGTAATGTATCTAAAGGCCTTAGCATAGCTCCCAGCACAAAATAAAGACATACACTGGCTATTAATAAGAAATAAAATTCTCTGAGCACCTAAGATATCTCACAAATCCTGTATGACAGTTTTGCTCAGAGACAACCCATCAGGCCCACACTCAGAGTCTATATAACTTGATGTTCAGTCAGGACTGACATATCGTGGCTCGGGCATAGTTTTGACAAGAAGGACCATCTGGTTTCCCGTGCTCTAGCACGACTGGAGCCCCTGTCGTCTGAAAGTAGGGACAGGCAAGAACCAGGACAGCTGTAACGAGAGGGACAAGTGGTGGAACAGAACAAACCAATCAAAGCAAGAGCTCAACTGTAGGAGTCTCAGCGTATTCAGAACAGGGCCAAGCAGCCTTACCTTCCTCAAGGGTCCCTGAAAACATCCCTGTATCAGAACAGTGCAGTAATTCATGGTGACAGTGAAGTGTGCCTCAGTCCTCCATAGAAGTTCATGTATGCTCACTATTTAAGAAGGCAGAGAACCAAGTTTTCCAGGGCCAGGCAAGCACTTGCCATCAACAAGGTGAAAATCAACATTTTGATGCTTGAAGACGGAACTTCAGTTGCATGGAAAACCCCCCTTGGGTAAAACAACTCAACTTACAACAGAGCTGGATACATAAGTGTCACCCTCTTTCTACAGGTTACATCCCTGCAAGTTGGTACTATATAAATTCACCACCCCCACCCCCAAAAGACAGTGGCTACTTAACTTTGGTACAAAGAATCAGGGTCAACTTGCCAATGATACTTTAATGAATGAAATGTGTTATTTTGTGATATGCCCCCTTTCAACTCATGTTTTCTGCTCCAGAGAGGTACAGTGGAAAACAGACGAAAACCAACAGGACGTCCCACATGTATTCTTCTTGATGATGGAGTTAATGGGAAATTCTGCCCCTCTCCACACTTGCGATTCCTTGATGGTAACATGACTGGACTAGGAGGTCTTCCAGGTCTCCTCCAACCTGGATGTTCTAGGATACAGTTACCTGACCCAACTAATAGGAACCCAGTAAGTGTCCTTGCTCAGCTTCTCTAAGATCATTCTGAGCTGGCTGCATGCACTCTGGAGATCCTCCTTCACCAGCACAGCATCCACCAGGTGCCCATAGTGCTGGTCTATGAAGGCGGCGGAGGCAGACATCTCTCGCTGCTCCTCATTCTGCAAGGAAAGGGGCAGTTATGGAGCAACAGGGTGGTTCTACCCCTGTGTCTTGGGCAATGTGCCAACCTCTAATTTTGAAGTGACGAGTGTGATAACTATGGTCTATGAACAACCAACTCTGTACACAAAGAACAGAGTGTAACTGGAATGATAATATCCTATCAAACTTCCAAGAACGTTAATGGGCAGTAGACAAAATGATTGTTCAGTCATTCATTCACAAAATATTTACTCAGGACTGTTAACTGCAAGCCAGGATATGAAGTGTTTTGGGGGCTGGGGAGGGATGCTGATTCTACATCCATGTCACTATCACACTTCCTGTCCAGAGGTATTTCCAAAGAATGGTACTATTGTGTTGCATGGCAATTTAGTTAAATAATTACAGGAACAATCTATAAATAATAACAATATAAAAGCCCAAAAAAGCACTTCTGGAATCAACTGGGGCAAAAGACAGTGAATAAGGAACTCGAATGCCCTAAATTCATACTATAGAACTCAATTCTTCTTTTCATGTCCTTATACCAGGGCCAAACACTAGCACAGGGGACAAAACAGAATTACTTAAGAAAGTGCTGGGCCCTGACCGGTTTGGCTTCGCAGTTAGAACATTGGCCCGCAGACCAATGAGTTACGGGTTCAATTCTGGTCAAGGGCATGTACCTTGGTTGCGATTCGTCCCTGGCCCTGGTTGGGGTTGTACAGGAGGCAGCCACTTGATGTGTCTCTGTCGCGTCAATGTTTCTCTCTCTCTGTTCCTCTCTCTCCCTCCCACTCTATCTGAACAAAAATGGAGAAATGTCCTCAGGTGAGGATAAAAATAAAATAAGAAAGTACTGGGACAACACTCATCAAATTCCCCATTCCCTGAGGGTACCTGCCTTCTTAAACCAGATTGTTTTCCTGACACCTAACACCAAGATATAGCTAGGCAGTGATCCCTTCTTTACCAAACGCACACAATGTTTGCTGCTGCTTTCAAAAAACCTAAGAGAAGGCTGAGATCATTCCTTCCCCTTACTTCTTTCCCCCAGGAGGGGAAAAACTAAATGAAATTGGGAGACGCTTCCCAGTTCTACACTGCACCTTGCAGGGCTCCTTTGGTACTGAAACTGCCCACAGCATCCCAGCGCTGCCCCGCAGCCCTCACACCTCCCGCAGCCCGCAGCCCGCAGCCCTTACACCTCCCGCAGCCCTCACACCTCCCGCAGCCCTCACACCTCCCGCAGCCCGCAGCCCGCAGCCCTCACACCTCCCGCAGCCCGCAGCCCGCAGCCCTCACACCTCCCGCAGCCCTCACACCTCCCGCAGCCCACAGCCCGCAGCCCTCACACCTCCCGCAGCCCTCACACCTCCCGCAGCCCTCACACCTCCCGCAGCCCTCACACCTCCCGCAGCCCTCACACCTCCCACAGCCCTTACACACACATCGAGTAGAACTGTCTGCTTACACACCTCCCGCAGCCCTTACACACACATCGGGTAGAACCGTCTGCTTACACACCTCCGCAGCCCTTACACACACATCGGGTGGAACCGGCTGCTCACACACCTCCCGCAGCTCTTACACACACATCGGGTGGAACCGTCTGCTCACACACCTCCCGCAGCCCTTACACACACATCGGGTAGAACTGTCTGCTCACACACCTCCCGCAGCCCTTACACACACATCGGGTAGAACTGTCTGCTCACACACCTCCCGCAGCCCTTACACACACATCGGGTAGAACTGTCTGCTCACACACCTCCCGCAGCCCTTACACACACATCGGGTAGAACTGTCTGCTCACACACCTCCCGCAGCCCTTACACACACATCGGGTAGAACTGTCTGCTCACACTCCTCCCGCAGCCCTTACACACACATCGGGTAGAACTGTCTGCTCACACACCTCCCGCAGCCCTTACACACACATCGGGTAGAACTGTCTGCTCACACACCTCCCGCAGCCCTTACACACACATCGGGTGGAACTGTCTGCTCACACACCTCCCGCAGCCCTTACACACACATCGGGTAGAACTGTCTGCTCACACTCCTCCCGCAGCCCTTACACACACATCGGGTAGAACTGTCTGCTCACACACCTCCCGCAGCCCTTACACACACATCGGGTAGAACTGTCTGCTCACACACCTCCCGCAGCCCTTACACACACATCGGGTGGAACTGTCTGCTCACACACCTCCCGCAGCCCTTACACACACATCGGGTGGAACTGTCTGCTCACACACCTCCCGCAACCCTTACACACACATCGGGTAGAACTGTCTGCTGCTGCTGGAGTTTCTATTCCCCCTGCACCCTCAGTGTTCATCCTGGAAGCATTTAGCTATTTGAGAAATTACAGAAGTAACATGTTTCCCACTAAGTACCTCAATCTTCCTAATATTTGCATCTTGAAAGAACTCAAACCTCCAATGGAGTAAAATGTGTGACATCTGTTTTGCAGCCACAAATCCCCTCAATCCTTTTTCTGGCCTGTAAGGTGGAATGTTCAACCACCTGCAGCTTCAGCCAGAGTCACAAACCTGACAGCAAACACATGGAAAGACTCCCGCATGCTGCCTGTTGTCCCATGCTGGATTAGCTTACTATATCTGAACTTGGTTTCAATTCAAGTGTCAATTAAAAAATCAACAATGTGAAAATCAACATTTTGATGCTTGAAGACGGAACTTCAGTTGCATGGAAAAACCCCCTTGGGTAAAACAACTCAACTTCCAACAGAGCTGGATACATAAGTGTGGCTCAGTGGATTAAGAGTCATCCCATGGGCCCTGGTCAGTTTGTCTCAGCGGTTAGAGTATTGGCCTGTGGACCAATGAGTCGTGGGTTCAATTCTGGTCAAGGGCATGTACCTCGGTTGCGGTTTGTTCCCGGCCCTGGTCAGGGTGTGTAGGAGGCAGCCAATCAATGTTTCTCTGTCACGTGATGCTTCTATCTCTCTCTCCCTTCCTCTCTCTAAAAAATCAAAACATATTTCTAAATAATAATAATAGAAAAATAAAAACTACTTGGGTTTGGCTTAGGAGTTCAACAGATTTGTGTGGTTTGTCACACTCAGATCAGGTCCCTGATGTGGGTCTCTATTTTCAGGGAGGGTGCTTATGTGAGGGAGTGGAGGTGGGGAACCCAGGTAAAGCCACCCCTGTCTGAACTAGAGACATTTCCAGCTGCATCACTTGACCAAGTAAGTCTGACCAATAGGCAAAATGGAGAGATGGTCTTTTGCAGGAGGTATGAGCACCGTTATGTAATGGTCACAGGCTCTGTTAGGCCTTTAGAAAAGAAATGATCAATTTTAAACTTACAAGTGGAGCTGCTGTGTCCTCATAAGCGGGAGACATGGGCGGCGTCTTCCTTTTCTCCTGAATTGCAGGCTTTACAAATATAATATAGGGCTTGAACTCTGAGGTCCTCAGTTGTCTTAGTACCTGAGGAAAAGAGTTCAGGAATATTATACACTTTGAAAATCTTTTATTGTGAAACATACTTTTCAAATGCTCCATAATGGCGTGCTTCATCACACGGCCTCAATGGTAATGGTTCCGATAATATGGTCATATGACAACTTCAACGGGGCAGGTCAGCTGCTGCCTTTCTGGCTCTCCACTCTCACTCTGGACTCAGCTGGGCCCTGAAGGCAAACTCGCTGAGAAGGGAGGTTCCCAAGCCTCCGTTCCAAGAGCCGCCATCTCTCTTGGCTCTGACCCCACAAGCTCTAATGAACCTTCTTCTGCCCTTCTCTACCTGCCCAGTCCTGACGGATGAGCCAGCAGGATTCAAGGTGTATCTAGTCATCGATCTGGACTACACTCGTGCAGAATGTGTGCTATCTAACAAGCCTCCTTTGGATATTCGAAGAAGAAATGATTTGCTAAGCAAATGAGACTAAGAACCCAAAACAAATTGTAAAGACTTTAGAAGGTTTTCAATATGCAAATCATCCTTTTCGTGCATTTCATCTGAAGGGCCTCTACTTGGAAACACTGGTATTAAACTGCTATATGGTCTGGCCGGTGTGGCTCAGTGGTTGAGCGTCGACCTATGACCCATACGCCAAGGGTCGCCGGTTCGATTCCCAGTTGGGCAGGACACATGCCCAGGTTGTGGGCCCGATCCCCAGTGGGGGGCATGCAGGAGGCGGCCAATTGATGTTTCTGTCTCTCTCTCCCTCTCATTTCCTCTCTCTGTAAAATCAATAAAGGAAAAAAATAAAAATAATAAACTGCTATATGTACAATCTGTAGCCAAAATGATAAAATCACTTTCGAAATAAAATCTTAAAATTTAGACTTTCAGTTTTGACTACCAACTCCTAGTAAGTCCAAATTAGTGAGGATTTTGCTTATATATAATGTGCTTTCTGGAATCTGTCTCAAGCAAACTTCTGTAAAATAATGCCTATTGCTTATATCATAGAATCAGAGCTCTATTTCTATAGAGGAATAAAAAATCCCCAGATTGAGGTCAACACTTAGAAGTGTTTGTCAAAAACAAGGTTAAAGAGATGAGTAAGCGGCTGTCGATACAGTTTGTGAAGCATTTCACAGGGTCGCGTCTCCTTCCTTGCTCCCCTTTCAAACCGCTCTCCTGACCCTTCCCCAATGGTTCTCAAAGCAAGAAGGAGGTACCCTGATGCCAAGAGCTGAGCCCAGCCTCCACCTGGGCACTGACACCTAATTCCTTGTCACATCACAATTGGCCGATCGGTGCCAACCTCGACTGCATGACTTACTCCACGCAGATTCTCATCTTGGGTCTCTGCCCAAGAGGATTCGTGAACTCCCTGCGATTCTAATGCAGTTTTTGTGTATAGAGGTGCATATTTGGGGCTGTAAAGCTTTCATTAGCTTCTCAAAGGGAGACCCCCAGGAAATTTTAATATCCTGTACTCTGGGCAAAACACTCCTTAGACTGAGGTCAAATATTCTGTAAAATGTACAACCCCCTCGTTTATAAATTCCATTAACAAAACAACTGGCCCAGGAACTCACGTCCGGCTCCACGTCCACCAAACACACTTTGTTTTTGGCTATCACAGCCTGGATGGCGTCCAGGCTGGTTCCATAGAGATTTTCCTTATATTCACCATGCTCCAGAAACCTAAAACACCCCCAAAGGAGAAAAGGGCTTTAGTTCCTGAGCTTGCCTAAATTAGCACAGACACATGAATGGACTTCCCGCCATGACTCCTCTCCCACCTCCTCTCTCCCCTCCCCGCCCCCCTGGAAGCCCTCCCAGGGGGTCAAGTGGGCTCCCGGACAGATGCAGACACACGCCTACACAGAGGGCCAGTGGCCCATCAAGCAAACGTACTTGTTGTGATGTATGTCGGCCTCAAATGCTTGCTTAGAGACAAAGTGATATTCCACCCCCTCCTTCTCATGGCTCTTTCGGGGCCTGGTGGTATCTTTTAAAGAAAGAACAAGGAGAGCTGGGCAAAGAGATGTCACGTTACAGTCAGTGAGAACAGCAGTGAGCCTGCGGCCTTATTCAGAGTTCACTGCTGATACGTATATAAACCAACGTCTTCCGTTCATCCAATGTCCCTGCGTCAGGCAGTGCCCTTTCCAGGCACGTCACTGATTCACACCACTCTGGCGTAGGCAAAAGGAGAGGAGAGGTGCAGAGAGGTGGAGCACCATGCCAATGACCCAGGGCCGGCAGGTAGCAGAGACAAGGTCTGAACTGTCTCATGCCAAGGGTATGCCCTTACCACCCTGCCAAACTGCCTAACTGATGCTGTGGTTTTTAAAGAATCACCGAGGAGCTCCCTAGTCCTACACTTGTATTATTCCCTAGTCCTGATTGCTTTTTGAGAGCAGAGGAGGCACAAACACAGATGACCCTGTTGTATGCTTTTAATCCTGTATTCAATTATTTCTCGTTTTGAGAAAAGGAGACATGAAGGCAGTGCCTTTAGGGACGAGATGTGCTCCAGCAGAGCTGGCTCTCGCTCCGTTTCACAGCACGTAGTGTTTTCCGATGGATTTCCGAACAGAAGTGAGATGCACACTCCTGGGGAAAACAGGTCCTCCCAGAACCAGAGCACACACGAAGCAACACACAGCTTTTCCCTGAGCATTCCAAAAGAAAACATGGGGTGTTGGAGAACAGTGTTTTCTGGCCCTTGGGCGCCACCCAGGGAGATGCTCTGTATTCTGTATGTGGTATCATTGGCCAACTCTGGCCGCATCATTCCCTTGCTCTAAAACTTTTATTTACCTACTTATTACATTCTAAAGTCCTTAAATGAGTATATGACACCCCTGTGATCACCCAGCTTCAAACTCAGTTTCATCTCCCCCACATCATCCACACCAACTTCCCCAGCCCGTACACTGCTAAGCCAGGTCACACCTTCATCCCTTTGCACATGTTTCCTTTGCAGAGAAAATTCTTCCTTTCTTCTCTGCCTGGAAAACTCCTATTTACTCTTCAAAACCCAACAGATCCCTGGCCTGTTTGGCTCAGCAGTTAGAACATCAGCCCACAGATCAATGAGTCATGGGTTCGATTCTGATCAAGGGCACGTACCTCGGTTGCAGTTCGTTCCTGGCTCTGTCTGGTAGGGGTCGTGCGGGAGGCAACCAGTCGATGTGTCCCTCTCATGTCGATGTTTCTCTCTCTCTTTCCCTCCCTCCCAATCTATCTGAAGATAATGAAAAAATATCCTCAGGTAAGGATTAAAAAACACACACACAAAAAACAGTGTAAAGGTCACTATCTCTGGGAAGCCTTCACCGACTCCCCCCATTCATAAATGCAAGGGGGAAAGTCACCTATCTGTGTGGTACCTGGAAGCAGGTAGGCCTGACCATCCAGGTACCCTTCCCCCAAGGGATGGATCTGAGCATTTCAAAGGATCTGTGTGTGTGCAAACTGCACAGGTGCTGTTTCAGTCCATCCTCTCAGGCTGAAAGGCCGTGGCCCACCGAAACCCACCAGGCCCATTACAGGTATGTTGCCAGAATGGCCTCCGCATCCCTGCCATTTCAGGTTGGGCAGGGATTCAGAGACTGGGCTGCAACCCAGAGACTGGGCTATGGGCCCTGAGGCCCAGGGGAGCAGCTTTGTAGCTGCCCTTCCTCAGAACTTTCTGGAAAGGTCCCATCACTGCCACCACAGCATCACCTCTTGGTGGCCACCAGGTGCCCACAGTGCATCCCACTGAGGACAGAGGGACGGAGAGAGAGTCCCACAGAAAGAAAGGGGCAGCCAAGGACAAGAAGAGGCAGGCTTCATGCACCCTGTTAAGAACGTGACGGGGGAAGACTGCCTGGTTTTGAATCTTGGCTCCACTACTTACCAACTCTGTGACACTGGGCAAGTGACTTAACCTCTCTGAGCCTCAGTGCCTTCCTCTGCAGTATAGGATGGAAATAATCCCTCTTCTTGGGCACTAGGAAGGTTCACCAAGTTACTCACAGGAGAGCTCCTGGTACATTCCTAGCACTCTTCATTCTCCTCCTCCTCACATTCAGAACGAGGATCTCCCACCTAGCGGATTTCAGCAACCCTGGCTGCCTCTAGACTCGGGAGCCACCCTGATGGGCCAGATCCAGCTACAAGGGAGAGAGAGCCCAAGCAATACTGCTCACTGGGTTCTCTGGCTTCCCTGCCCTGCTCTCTTATCCAAGCAGAGAGCAGGGGCCACTGGACTCAAAGCCATTTGGAAGAGGAGGCTGGGGGACCCCTTGGTGTTGGGTTGAGGTTGCTACTTTGCCTGCAATGTGCTCTAGACTCACCTACCATCCCAGGCAGGATCCGGGAAAGTAGTCCTCCAGCTTCTGCCTCAGAGGGTCCTAGTGGACCACTGAGAGTGGGTTTCTCCCATCATGCCTAGGCCCCACGATCTGCCTATAGCAGGCAGTGCTTGGCAGTCCCTCAGGCCCAAAGTAAGGATAAGGATGGATATGGGAGTTGAGGCTCCATGAAATATTTACGTGTAGGCATGCACCCCCCCACACACACACACACGCACGCACGTGGGCCCTCTTACGTGGAACAGCAACACCAAAGTGCTGTGGGTTCTCTGCCACCACCTTCTGCTTCAGCTCGTGCAGTCGGGCTCCCAGAGACCCTGGGGAATGAAGCGAAGGCTGACCTCAGATCCTGCTGAGCTCCTCCCCACTCCTCCAGGGAGAAATCAGCCCACTCCCTAAAGATGCCGGACATCACCTACCGATCAGAACCACCAGGCGGGGCCGCTTACTGGGTTGGTGCTGGTACCTGGTCACCTCCTCATAGGTCAGCAGCTCTGGAGACTCGGCTACTGCGGATATCTTTCCCTCCTGTGGGCTTCCCAGTCTCTCCCTGCGGCCCAGCCGGAAGCTCCTCCGAAGACCAGCTGTGAGGGAAGGGCAGGGGGCATCACAACATTTGTCCAGGATCTCCCACTAAAGACTTTATCCACCTGGCCAGACCTGGAGGAGGGACTGAGTCCCACGGCCTCTCCCAACCTCCTCCTGCCACACGAAGGGACTGATCAAGACACACAATAATATGATGAAAGGGTGACCACCTGGCATCCAAAAATAGGGTTCACAGTCACTGTTTTAGTTGGCATGTGACTGACCTTGAACAGGTCATCACCTCTCTGAGCCTCAATTTCCTTATCTGTGAAATGGAAATATAAGTCTACAAATGCAATGCATGGACTGGATCCTGGATCAGGGGAAAATGCTCTAAAGATATTGTTGGAACAACTGGCAACATTTTAATATAAACAGTACATTAGATAATAGAATCGCATGCATTGAAATTCCCACAATTTGATCATTGCCCTAGATTCCGTCAGAGGATGTCCTTGTCCTTAGGGAATACATGCTGAGGTATTTAAGGGTGAAGGGACATGATGTCTCCAACTAACTCTCACATGACTCAGGAAAAAAATGTACATATGTAGAAAAAGGAAATGATACAACAAACATGGCAAATAACAACTGGTGAATTTGGGTACTGAGCAGATGGGAGTCCTGTGTACAATTCTTACCACTTTTCAGTAAGTTTGAAATTGCTTCACAAGCAAAAGTTAGAAAAACTCTTTGCCTGTCTCTGGGTCTGTGAAAAGACTGACCCAAATGAAAGTGGAGGTACTTGGGAGACTAGTAAAAGGCTCCATGACTGTAGGGTGGTGGCGTAACCACTGAATAAACTACAGTTGAGATCACGAGAATAATAAAATCAGTGTTAATGTAAGGGTCCATGTCAGGCGCTAGGCCTGGGCAGGTCAGCCCCTCCTCTGTTGACAGAGATGGAGGAGTCCCACAGACTCAGTTGCTCAAATCACCATGTTTTTGTCTCTCTCTGACCCAGGAGCCCATGGTGGGATGTACACGGGTGCAGAAGAGGATGTTGGGGGAAGAGCCCCTGCTACTTACCCACATAATGCCCTTTGAAGTACCCCTCACAGTCACAGGTCTCTGGGAACCAAAGAGAGGGAGGCCAGTGAGCCATCCTGGTCACAGACCCCAGCCCAGAGGCACCCGGCCCCTGATGGCCAGGAAGAGGCCTCTGGGATGGTGTCTCAGGGGGGCTCTGAAGAAATCCCATGTCCTGGCCACCCCAGAAAAACAAGTTCTTCTGTTTAGCTCAGTTCTCCATACTTAGGCCCCAAATAGCCTTTCCAGGACCTAGCAGGGGTTCTGGGCCAGCAGGCCCCATCCCAGTCCCTGTGAGTTGGGATCAGTGTCAATAAGGAGGGAAGAGTCACCAGCCTTGCCCACCTCCTGTCTCTTGCCTCCTATCCAGCCCAGTCACAGTGAGCCCAGCCAGAGTCCTGGGAAGGCTGAGCCCTGTGTGCCAAGTGGGCAGGGAGGGGCTCTGTCCCCTGCTCAAGGAGCAGGCCGGACCAGCTGGCGGAGCAGGAGACACAGCCACCCAGAGAGGGGAGGGCTGAAGAACAAGCCTCTCCAGTCCCAGACATTCCACAGAAAAAGGGCCTTGTCCGTGCACACAGGGGACAAACACCAGGCCTACCTTTGTCACAAGGCTGATCATCTGCGGTTTGCACAAAAGACAGATGGAACAGCGTTAGTGGAGGGGAACCAGAAGGCCCTGCGGCTCAGGGACAGCCACGGCCTCGTGTGCCTGAGGAGCCCTCCATCTGTCCCCTCTTTCTCTCCTCCATCAGACCTGTGATCTGAGCTGTGGTGCGTTATTAAACCAGGACTTGCTCTAATTATTCTTCCTGTGTGTGTCTCATTAGCAGCCCAAAGAAAGCCAGCTCGTCACTGGCGGAAGCAGCCTCAAGGCCAATTTCTTCAGCAGCCCTTCCGATGGAGAGCATGTCCAGCAGGGTGGCCGTGGGCATGGCCACCAAACCAGGGGAGCAGCTTGCTCTAGGAGCCTGCAGTGGGAAAGCCTCCTCTCATACCCTAACTGGGGCGCTCTGGTCCCAGGCCCACGGAAAACTCGACCCCGGTCCCACTTCCTCGACCTCACGAGCCTCCATTTTCCCATCCTAGAAAGGGAGCTGTCCCGACCCCACTGCTTCTCCGGGCTGTTGTAACGATTACAAGGCAAGAAGGTGGGTGGGTGGGTGGTTACCTAGAAGGTAAAGTGCTACAGAGTAGAGTTGGCAGACAAAATACAAAACACTGGATTAAATTTGAATTTCAGAAAACCCAAGAATCAGTGTTTAGTATAAGTATAGCCCATGCAATATTTGGGACAAATGTATTTATACTAAGAAATTGTTTGTTGTTTATATGAAATTCTAATTTAATTGAGTATCCTTTATTTTTATTTGCCAAAGTTGACCTCTAACAAAGAGGCACAGGCTCACTCAGCATTCCCACCCAAAATCAGAGGTTGCAAAATTGATGGGGTCAGAATGCCCCTTGGGAATCTAATGGAAGCTGTGGACCTTCTCCCCAACACACCCACATAAGCATGAGCGCACATACACACACACACACACACACACACACGCATAGAGAAGTTTGCACATAGTTTTGGGAGAGGTGTTAATATGCCCCCTAGTGTCATCTGTGAGCCCCAACTATAGAACTTCCTCTCCAAGGATTAGCTCCCTCCAACCTAACTCGTCTTCTCTCCTCATCCCTCTCCCCACCCCCTCCTTCCTCTGGAGGCCTGGGAGATCAGAGAGAGCCCTTGGTGCTCCCTCCCGCCCAGCGCCTGCTTCTTCCTGGCACCATGTCCCCAAGTCCTAACCCCAGCTCCTCCCTGAAGTACCATCCCTGCCAATCTACTCACAGGGGGGCTTCTTGAGGCTCTGGGGGCTCGGCAGGGTACCCGTGGCTCTCCGGTAGCTTAGGCGCCTGTGGACAAGGAGATGAACAAGCCCGTGAGCTGGGTTATGGAACCAGTCAGGGAGAGTCTTTCACAAAACCTGGAGAAACTGAGGCTGGATCCTACAGGCGGGCACAGCCGGGCACTCCGAGGGCCTCCTGCTTCACACCGAGTCCCAGTGAAGACGGACGCGCGCGGGTGCCCACTGCTTCCCAAGGGGAAGGACACTGAGCCTCTGCTCTGGAAGCAGCTCGCCCAGCCCAACATGGTCACGCACAGGGACCCGGCCCAGTGCCCGTGGTCAGCGGTTGGTTGTTACTTTTCTACAACTGATTCTCGAGGAAGGGAGGCCCCTTCGCCTCTCCCCTGGCCTTCCCACCCCTGAGGGAGCGGGAAAATAGCAGGACTCCCAGGAGAGGCCGAGGGTGAAAGTGACCCTAATTTAACATCCTTCTCCCAATGGAGACCTCAGCCTGACACACCATCCAATACGGTTGTTAGTGGAAAGGCAGCTGCCAAGGCCTCCTCTCTGACCGAGAAAATGCCCAGGGCTCTTGGAGGTGTTTAGATTTCCACATTTAAATGCAGGGGAAGGGCCTCCCCTCAAGACCTGTGAAGCCAAAGGTGCAGATGGGTCCCCTGAGGAAAGAGAACAGTGTTTTCAAGCTGCCGCACCTCAGAATCACCTGGGACACCTGTGAGAACGGAGCTCAGAGCCCGCCCCCGGAGCTTCGGATTCAGCAGGTCTGGGGCAGGGCCCAGGAATCTGCATTTCTCACAGGTTCTCAGGGGATGCTGTCACCTCTGGCCTGGGCCACATGAGGGCCACTGAAACAGATGCATGAGGTCTGATCTGACCGTATTCCACATCCCAAAAGATAGAAAAGGGCTTCAAACCTCGGGGTAGCGGGGGGGGGGGGGCAGTCTTAACTACCAGTCCCTCTGACCCCGAATTTACACGTTTGGAAATCTATCCTAAGGAAATAATTTGAAATATGAGGAACAGTCTGTGTGCAAGATAATAAGTACAGCCTTGTAGCAGAGAAACACTGGAGAAGACTGAAAAGTAGGGAAGGAGTGAAGTCACTTAGGTACGACCCTTCCTCCAAGAAGCCTTCCCTGCATACCGTGTCCTACTCCCTGGCCCCCATCACATTTGTATAAAGTATTCATTTAACCATTTCTGGCTAAACTGTAAGCTCCCTCAGAGCAGACCCCAGGGGTTCAGAACGGCCCACAGGATGCCTGGCAGGGGCCAGCTCCATTCATAACAAATATATTCGCACTGCCTATGAATGAATAGGGAGCTCCTGATGAAATGTGATATAGCCACTAAAATCACACAACTAATAGGTAATGTGTGGGAAATGCTGGTGCCAAAATGTATGTTACAAAAAAAAACAAAAGAGCAAGATCTCAAATTCTATATGCAACACACATAAAAGGCACAGGAAGGAAATAAATTATGCTATTTAGATAGTGATGAGACTTTGGGTAATTTTCTTTTCCTTGTTCTTTTCCCGTAATTTTATATGTCAATTTCCATAATACAATTTTTCATATGTATTATGCAATATTCATTAATTTAATAACACAGATTTCCATATATTTATTTAAGTCTGAGTCATCGCCATTGGTTATAGGTCAAAAAGAACAAACACAAGTACAACTGGTACTTACTTCCAGGAACAATACACAGGGTGCCCCTCTGGCTGCGGTAGCAGAGATTTGGGGGTTTGTCATGTATCTCTGCCTCTGCCACTCCAGAACCACCCTCTAACAACACACTCCAGACCCACCTTTCCTGGAACTGTTTGGAGGGAATAAGGCCAGCTCGAAGGTTGGTGTCCCCCACTCGCTTGGCCTGCCACCACGTGGGGTCATCCTGGCTCACCACCTCCAGGACCTGCCTGCGCTGGAAGGGCAGGCCCGCCTCCTGGCAGGGGATGGCCCGGTCCTCCCGCGGGTTGTAGTGGAAGAGGGCCCGCATGAACACCTGCAGAGGACAGGCTCCGGTGAGGCCACCCTTCGTCATGGAGACAGGGACCTGCCTATGCCACATCGAAGGCCAATGACAACCACTGTTCACAATTAGGAAGCATAAGCAGCCTTGAGAATAGAAAGCTAATCAGAAACACGCCACATACATTTTCTTATTGTTCTTTAACCATTTTGAATATCATAGTCAGGAAATCCCTCAAGAGCCAGAAAATTAATAGATGGGCCCCATGTCTGAATTTCTTTTTCCAACTTAAATGTTTCCTTAGTACCTGATGTGCTGTCCTGAGCATACACAATGCAGCAATTAGTCCTGGGAACAAAGAGTAAAGGCGAGCACATCTGTAACGCGGATGTGATGTTTGATATGCTAACTGCCCCTAATGAAGTCAGCACCATCTGTGGAATAAGTTATCTAGATGTTTCAGTAAGAACACAGATATCAATAAAACTACTGTTACTGAGTCCTTGCATCACACCCATGTTTTTTATAGTTCAACCCTGACTCATCTGCCACATACCTGGCTGACCCCCGACCCTCCCCTAGACCCTGAAGTTACCCCCTCTAGACAAGATGGTGAGACGACACAGCATTTTGTCACACTTCCTTGTTCTCTTCTATAACTCAGTGGCATGGATTTATTTCTATTTGGGCCCAATGACTTTAACAGCAAATTGAGGGGAAAAAAAGAAAAGGAAAAAAAAAAAAAGGCCAGAGGGCATATGACAGATCCAAGTCATATTCCTTTATGTGCCCACCAGAAAAGATTGAGACGACAGTAAGAACTTTCAGATGTGAGGACAGAGACCCTCATCAAGCCACAGATGTCACCAGGGTGCCAGGCACTCAGAAGAGAGCATTCTCTTCAAGGGCCAGCACAGACCAAGCTCTGGCTCAAGAAGGAATATTTAGGAAGGATGGGCTAAGGGACAGGAAAACCAAGTTCTCTCCTTGTATCAAGTTGACCTTCCACGACCACATGAACTTGTCCAAAGAAGAACCACCTTCCATCGGAAAGAGTCCATATTATGTATGCCCTGGGATTCAGTGGAAGAAGGCAAATAAGAAACAAGCCACAAAAACATTATTTCTTCATTTACTGTTAAAACAAAAAAAGAAAAACACCTGACATCAAAGACGTTGTCCATTCTCAATCCTCATTCATCATAATAGGTATTGTCTGTGCCAGGTGCTGGAATAGCCCCTCTCCTACACCTAGTACTGGGCGGCGGGGACTGGGAAGCAGCTTTCTTGGAAAACTGGCATGCTCCCTTCCACCCGCCAGTGAGAAGTATGTAGTTCATTACGTTCTCCTTTCTGCCTTGGCTGCCAGGATAGTTCAGGTCCCAATTTATTCAAAATCAAATAACGCCCTCTTCTGTCCTCTCTACCACCACCTCGGCTCAGGTCTCAGCAACCTGCCCTAACACACCTCCCCCGCAGACCCCAACCCAGTGCTCTTTCTCATGGACCCCCAAACACACTCCTCTCCCTTACTCTGAGCTTCTATATATGCAGACCCCTCTGCCTGACCTTCCTCCACCTCTTCTTCACCAGGGAATTACTCATCTTCACTTCCTCAGGCCTCACCTCCTCGTGCCTGCTGTACCACACCTTCCGTGGCACCTGTCGCTCTGCACAGAATCTTACACAGTACTTATCACATGGCAATAAAAGACTTGCTCCCCAGCCTCCCCTTCTGAACTAGGAATCCTCAAGGCTCCTAAGTGACCCCGTCACCAGCATCTGGCAGAGCACCTGGCACAGAGGAGGTGCCCCAAAAAGGTAGGTGCCACAAAGAATTAAACAAAGGGCAGTTATTTAATTGGTCTCAAAGCCAGAACATTTGGTACCTTCTCCTCTTTATGGCCCCGATTTTCTATTTCCATTAAAATTTATTGGTAAGTGAGGCTGAAACCTGTTTACAAAGAGGCAGGGTACAAAGAAATAAATCACTTTGTGACACAATTGCAATCTACCGAGCACATGTTCTGAGGACCAGATGTACTATTTCTTCCCAAATGACCTTTTCCAAGGCTGGGCTGGAGCCCTCCCGGTACCTCTAGCTCCCACCCATACCTTGCTCTCCTTTAAACGGTCCTCCTCTTGGGTGGCTGGGATGATTTTCAGGGTGATGGATCCCTGGGACTGAGCCTGCAAGGAAAGACACCCACAGGCTTATCATCGTCCAGGGCTAACCTTCCATGAGTTCTCATCTCATTTCCCAGGTCTGAAAACTCATGATCAGAGGGAGGTCAGACTCTGTTGTTAAATTAACAAGGCAAATCAAAAACTAATACCTGTATTTTCAGACAAAGGGGTGAAGATTTTATTTTATTTATGTATTTATTTTTTTATCCTCACCCGAGGATATTTTTCCATTTTTTGTACAGATAGAGTGGGAGGGAGAGAGAAGAAGGGAGAGAGAGTGAGAAACATCGACGTGAAGGGACACATCGAGTGGCTGCCACCCGCACGACCAACCAGGGCCGGGGACAAACTGCAACCGAAGTACGTGCCCTTAGCGGGAACCGAACCCGGGTCTCTCCGGACCGCAGGCCAACGCTCTAACCGCTGAGCCAAACCGGCCAGGGCAAAGGGGTGAAGATTTTAAATGAGGACCCGAGGACAATGCGTGCCCTGAATTCACCCCTCCCGACCTCTAGTGCCCCCCAGGGCTGCTCTTCTTTCTTCTTCTTGGGTTATTTTGAATAGCCTGGTCCAGTTTCCTTTTCCTCCTTCCTGCCCGACTTGAGGCTGGTTCCAATCAGTACTTCCCTCTTTGCCTCCATCCTCCCCAGTGGGCTCTCCAATCACAGCCCACTCCTATCTTCCCAGGGGTTCCTCCTCCATCTGCCTGACAGAGACCCTGTACCCCCATGGGGGGACCATGAGGAAGAATGCTGTCAGCCATGAGAGCACATCTTGCCTACTGGTCTCCCTGGCCTGCATGGCCCTGGAACACAAGGTCAGTGCCCGGAGCTAGGGGAACGGCAGAGGCACACAGAGACTGAAGGGGCTGCCTGCAGGGTCGCTACAGTGGGGCCTTAGAGAGTCAGCCTCCTCTCTTCACATCTCATCCTCTTTCTGTCCCCAAACCACCAGAACTTAGCCAGGAGTGTCACGTCGAGGGAGGATGCTGAGGATACAGAGGACAGAACCATGATTGAGATTCTACAATTTCAGTTTTGACTTGATCTCCCAGAATGGGTTCTGGAGGCTGTTTATATCCCGGCACAGATGTGAAGTGCTGTATCATTTTCCAGATGTTTACATCCTAATGATCGCCACACATAGGATGAGAAACCATCCCTGTCCTTATTTTCCAGGAAAGGAAATTGAAACTCAGAATGATCTGAAGACCTGTCCAAGGTTGCACAGCCAGAAAGTGGCAGAGGCAGGATTCAAACCCGGGACTGGCTGACCCCAAAGCCCTTGCTTGGGTCCTCCCTGTGCTGCAACCTCTTATTCCATATTCCTCGGTCCTTTGAAAGAGGGAACCCTTTTGAGGGGGGTCTCCTGGAAAGGTTCTCAGGAAAGGGAGCTAGGGTTCGGGGAGATGACTGCTGAAGAGAGGGTCTGTGAGAAGCAGATGGACTAGAAGTTCAACTCCTCATCCCCCATCCCGCACCCTGGGCACACTGTAAGTCCACTTGGCCTGCAACCCTCCCGTGAAAACAGGAAGACTGAGCGAGAGCCACCCTGGCTCCAAGAAGCACCCTGCTTGGGTCTCCAAAGCACCACCAAACCCCCAGCACACGTGAAGCACGGACCAGAATCTGGCTGATCTCGTCGGGCCGCTTGTGCAGGACCGTGATCCCATTCACTTCCCGGAGCTCGTCCCCAACGTGGACCAGGCCTAGGAGACACAGGAGCGACCGTCAGCACAGGGAGGGGGCTCGAAGCTCTGGGCACCGCCGGGACTGTGATGAACTGAGTCCTTACTGCGCGCTGGGTGCCTCACTCCGCACCACAGCCTCACAACCACCTGGTGAAATCTCCAGTTTACAAGTGGCAGCTGAGATCTAGAAAAATTATGCAGCTTGCCTAAGGCCATACTGCTAAGAAATAATGGAGCCAGTGTTCAAACACAGTTATTTTGACATAGAAAGACTGTGTTCTTTCTGCTGTAACCTCTGCTTCTTTAAAAATTGCATTAACTCTTCACCTTCCTGGGTTTACAGACACACTCCAAGAATGCCCTTCACAAATCTTAACAAGAAAACTTACAAGCACCAGGAAGATGTCATCATGAGTGTTAGACACACCTGTCTGTTGGCCTCTGCTTTACTGACCAGCGTCTCTGCATATTGGTACTGAAAGTGGGCGCTGACCCAGCAGCATTAGCACCACCCACGAGGCGGTTGGGGCTGCAGAATCTGGGGCCCAGCTAAGACCTGCTGAATCAGAATCGCCTTTTAACCAGCTGGGGCCGGTTGGGAAGGGGGTGGTCATGTGCTTACTCCTGTTTGAGAAGCTCTGGTCTAGGATTCTTCACAACAATGATCCCCAGACTTTTGGGATAATATCCCCACACCAGGAGGTTTACCTCCAACTCAGGAGTTTTCCCACACAATGATTTGCAAATTGTTTTCCAACAAAACAAATCTGGGATGTGCACACCCTCCCCTCGGTAATAGTGGTAGCTGGGTGGTGAGGAAGGGTGTCCCTGCCCCCCAGTTAGGAATTACCCACCAAGCCCACACTGTATGCTTAACTACCAGAGTCCTGGGGCTAAGCCAGTGCATGAGTTCTTCTGATCCCCCCAAAGTACTAGATGCCTAAGAGATTTCAAACAATTAAAATTTCTACCAGGCATGTGAAAGCAAAGAAAATTCCAGCCCGCTCCCCAACTCCCACTACATCCCAAACAGGTGATGGGATAGGAGGGGGAAATGAGACCTATGGCCAAAGGGGGAAGGTTGGGGGACAAAGGCCATCACCTTGGCCAGGTGGGCATTGATGCCACTCACCACTCCGGTCTGCTGCGCCTCCTCGCATGATCCTGGCCACTACGACAGCCCCTGAGTGCTCATCCCGTCGGATGGTGGCACCCTACATCAGAGACAGAGCAGGCAGGCTCCTCAGAAGCACCCCCAAACCTCAGATTCCAACACTCTGATTCCAACACTCTGATCCCAACAGGGCCCCCCCACCCTGCCTTCCTTTCCTCTGTCATCCCAGAGGGCAGATCACTGGGGACCTTTCCAATACTAAGGACGCAATAAAACGGACGTCTGTCGTTAATATAGCACAGCACTTTACTGTTTACAAAGCACAGTAACGCAGTGCCGATCTCATTTGAGAGATGAGGGACTGGGTCTCAGAGAAGGTAAGAAGCATCCTCAAGGTCACCCGGCTGAGAAGGAGTACAGCTTTTTGTGATGCTGAATCCAGAGCTTTCTCTATCATATCACAGCACCTGCCTCTTGCAAAGACATTTAATAATGAGGAGAGTATGTGCCAGCAAATTCTCATCCTGCCTCTAACCAATCACAGGGTTACCTGGGCCTTCTGTTGCCGAAGGGAATCAATTATGTCCCAGCCAGAGCTTCAGGACCAGGACTTAGTCTATGAAGCACAGAAGAGAGGTTACCCAGGATGAGGAAGGCCTAACGAGCCCTCAATTCCGTGCACCACGCAGGCCGGACAGTGGCAGGGTAGAGCAGCAGTCAGGTCAAGAGCTAAGCTCCAGAGTTGGACAGCCCTAGGTTTGAATCCACTCTGCCATTTACTAAAAACATGCAGCCTTAGCAAGGAAGCCCCTTATCCTCTCTGCGTCTCTTTCCTCTGGGGTGTGGGACAACATTTAATTCATGGGGTGGTGCGAGGATTGCATCCGGGAATATATGCAGGGCACTTAGCACACAGTAAGTGCTCAATAAATTCTAACCATTTATTACTGGCTGTAACTGCACACACACTGGTACACTTATTAACTTCGCTCATGTCATCTATTTGAAGTACATAAGATAAATATTGCTGGAAAGAAAGGCCATTAGCTGAGAACTCTGTGGCTTCTTGCCCCACAGACCTTCACGCTTTCCAGCACCTGTGACCATCCTTTTCTCTTTCCCCCGCCTCAGAGGCGGGGCTCCTCCTGTCTGGGCTGGTCCCTCTTCCCCTCCTCCTTCTCCTGCATCCTCAATGTCCCTTCACTACTGGCTCCTTCTCCTGGTCCTAAAATATTATCAAGTCTTTCCCATCATAAAGCCTGCACCCCCATCCAGCAGAAGCCAGTCTTCGATCCTTTGGAGCGAGCTTCTTAAAGAAGCAGGGTGTGTCTGCTCTCTCTGCTTCCTTCCCTCTGAGACACTCAGCCCTGCAACCCCAAATGCACCAGCAAAAGCACCTGATGACCCGCCAGCTGCCACCCTCAGGCTCCTCTCCTCTGATCACCCTCCTGCCTGATTCTGCTGCTCACCCTCCCTCAGGAATTCTGTTTTAGCCTGGGCCCTGGTGACATCACTCTCCTAGTTCTTCTCAATAACAAATCATCTCCTTTGCTGAGTCCTCCTCTATCTGCCTCTTAAATGTTGATTGAAGGGCTAGGGCTTGGCTCTGGCCCTCTTCATATCTCACTTTGTATACTCCTTTACCCAGGAGTCGACCTCTCAGGTGTGATTTTAACCCCTTCTGGATGCTGGGGGCTGCCCACTTTGTATGTCTGAACACATAATCCTTCTACCTCCTGGACATCTCCATTGTGAGTCACACAGGTCTCCTGAATTCAAAGGTCCCTAAGCTCCTCCTTATTTCCTCCCCAGAATTATAGCCGAGGCCCACCCAGTCGTCCCAGCAGGACACCTGGGTTTTATCCTAGGTGCCTCCCCAGATTCCTGCCCGAACTGTGGCAGTTACAAAGTGACATTTCTCTCATTTCTGAAAAATTTCTTGGATGTCTCTTCCCTATTCCCACAGGCCTAGGTCAAGCCTCATTTCTGAACCTCATGCATCTGGCCCCTACCCCCAAATTGGTTTTCTGCTTCTGGCCTCACTCTTCACATCACTCTCTACTTGGTAGCCAGTGTGATCTTTCTACACTGGCCATGCTATTTCTTGCTTAAAACCTTTCCATGGCTCCCCACTGCCTTCAGGGTCAAGCTAAGTAACTTTGCATGGACGATCAGGTTCTTTATGATGTGCCACCTATCTGGCCTCACCCCTGTCACTCCTCACCTCAAACGTGGCCATCTATATGCACAGCAGGCAGCTCACAGATGCCTGACTACACCATGCCATTGACCTCCCCATGGCTTTGCTCGTGCAGTCTACTTTGGGGAATGCCCTTCCTCTCTCTTTTCCTTCTGGAAAATTCCTGTTCCTTTTTTTTGAAATTCAGCATGGGCATCACCCTTTCCAGGAAACTCCCAGTCACTACCTCCTGTGAACTCCCAGAGACACTCAGAGGGCCAGGACTAAGTCTTAATCATCTCTGAACTGCCTGCACCCAACAGGGCCCCTGGCACACAGGAGGATGCATGATTTGTTTGCTGAGTCGATGGATAACTGCCCCGTTCTGAAAGAAAGGAAATAGAGGCAGAGACGAGATCCCACTCTGTTCGCAGAAGTGGCTCATGTGAGGTCACCTGGTGAAAGTTGACAGTAAACAGTGCCCGCTGCGGTATTCTTCAGGGCAAGCACTCAATTCTCCGGACTTCCCCCACTTCCCTCCATCTAATAAACAAGCCTGTCCCTTTGCTCGGTAAATCAATGCTGAACCAGGACCAAAATGATAACCATCTGTCAGCTGGGAAGAAGAATAGCTGCTGCCCTGTGCTTCCTCGGTATTCAGAGCAGGGACTGGCAAACATATTCGGCAAAGAGCCAAATGTAAGTATTTTAGGCTTTGGGGGCTGCACAGTCTCCTTTGCAACTGCTCAACTCTGCAGTTGCAATGTAAGGACAGCTCTAGACAATATGGCAATGAATAGAATGGCTGTGTGCTGATAAAACTTTATTTACAAAATCTGGCAGGGGCTGGGTTTGGCCCTTGGACAGTAGTTTGTCAGTTCAGAGAGTGAGGATCAGAGCTGCCACACAATCATGCAGGTGAGTCACTGCACAAAGGAGCTTGGCCGTAGTTGAAGGAGGCTGTATCTACCCGAGAAAGGGGACCCTGCGCACGTAAGTGTTGCAGGGACTAGTGACAGCCCTGAAAAACTGCCATCATTCATTTTAAAGACTTCAGGAGGGTCCCTTCCCAGTTTTCCGGGTGGAACAGGGAATGCAGGGGAAGGAGGGTGCCACATACCAGGGGTTCCTTGTTCTTTACCAGGCGGACAATCTTCACTGATTCTTCATCAAAATCCTCATCAATATTATCAGGCAGAGGGGGGAGAACAGGGTCAAAATTCTTCTGGGCAACCGTATCATGTACCATGAGCATGGCCTGTCAGGAAAGCAAGAGAAATGAAAGACTGGCCCAGAGCTCATGGGGTCAGAGGGCCTGGGCTGAGCAGTGGTCCGAGGATCTTAGATTTCATGCCAGAGAGACAACCACCCCAGACACTGACACAGGATCCCTCACTCAGAAGCCTCCTTTCCTCAGCCTCATGACTGAATGCTCAGGAGACACCAGCTGTGTGGGTGGGCAGGGACTGCGGCGTGACTACCCTGAGGTGGGGGGTGGACAGCAGCTGGAGCAGTTCCCTCTCGTCGCTGTGCACTGAGGCGGCCTGCAGCTCCTCCATCACCTGTAGGGCAATGAGACAGGTGGGTGCTTCAAGCCTGCTGCGAGTCACCAGGGAAAACCCTGCTCCCTGGACCTCAGACCCAAGGGCCCTCCCAGCAACTGCTATAGCACCCAGGGGCACATGGGACCCTCAGCCACCCAGGACTGATGCTCCCAGGGAAATCACACCAGGGTAATCCTAAGGGGTGCTAACTCATGAAGCCCTTACTGGGTGTCATTGCTTTATGTGGATCTTCTCACTTAGCCCTCTCAAAGAACTAAATGTAGCGGGCACTGCTATTTTGCCATTTTACAGATGAGAATTAAATGAGGGATTAAATATCTAGCCTAAGGTCACACAGCTGATATGTGGCACAGCCAGGACTTGAACCTGGTCTTACCTGGCTCCATTATCTGTGCCCTCACCACTGCACTGTAGGTGAGAAAATAGGGGCTCAGAGAGGTTGAGTGACATGTCTAAGGTCCCAGAGCTAGTAGTGGAGACAGTGCTGTGCCTGGGAGCCTCGCAACCTAACATGCGCCTCATCACATCCCGTGGACGAGAAATGCACAGAAACTGCACCCGGGCTGCACCCTCCCCTCAGCAGGCCATCTCCTCAGCTGAGGTGAGTTTATTCAGGAGCTGGACTTAGTCATCAACAGGGACTGCTTTCCCCAAACAGGTCCACAAGAAATTAGGAAGCATTCCTTTAACAAACAAGAAGCCTGAGCCAGTAAGCGGGGACAGACCGCAAGTCCCTTGCCCCCAGGACTCCACACTGGGCCTCCCCAGACACAAGGTCTTGTTTGACCTATTCGTATTGCCAGTCCTCAACAGTTTGGGAACTGCAGTTCTGGTCCAAATGCTCTCATTTCACAGCTGGGGAAACAGACTTTCTCAGGAACACATAGTAAGTGGGCGTCATCATGTCACCATGTTCCCAAGCCCAGCCAAGGCTCCGAGTTCCTCCCGGCTTGCTAGGAGGCCCAGGGAGGAGGAGGAAGAGGAAAGGAGACACTCTTCACCTTGGCACTCCTGATTCCCAATGTCCCCTGGCTAAGCAATGGTGATGAGGCAAGATGATGGGACACTATGGGATGGGGATGGGGCTGACAGCAGAAGAAAATACTTGGGGCTTACATCCTCGGCGAGGGCCACAGCGCTGTGCAGGACAGGAGTTGGACTTTGCCTCTCGTAATAGCGAAGCTTCTCGTGAATCTGCAAAGACAGCCAATTTCTGGCTGGGGTCTCCCAAGCCGGCTGCCTAGGTTTACCCTGGACACCACTACCCCATGGCTGTAGGGCTGCAAACTGGGCCATCCACAGGGCAACGTAAGAGAAAACCCTGCACAGTTTGCAAGTAAAGGCCTTACTGGGGCAGGGAGATGGCTAGGATGTGGACATGTAGGATGGCTAGATGGCCACATCTAGCTAGGAAGACCCCTAGAAATCCTCACCAGAGGGAATGAAATGAGGTTTTACCTTCATTAAGTAACTGAGGCTTTTTTCACTGAAAACATCCCTCAGGAAGCCCATCTCTTCCTTGTAGTTGGAGTCAGGTCTGAGTTGAGAGGTCAGCAGCGCCAGGGTTTCATGCAAGCCTGAGGAGAGTGTGAGGAAAACACAGTATAGCAAGTGCAATGGTACTTCCTTTGAGACGCCATGTGGGAACCCCCAGTGGACCCTCAAACAACACTTCAGCCCTATCCTGTGAACGCTGTCTCCCCAGGCTCTCATTCCCAGGGCTTGGAGGCACAGCCGTTCCTGAGCGCTAACGCTGCTTTCTTTCCAGCCTGACTGCTGGGCAGGTTCTTGTCTCCAGGCTGTGGAGGACCAGCCTGGGGAGGCACTCACCAGAGTCCTCGGACAGCACCGGCATGTCTGTGCTGGTCAGATCCCCGGTTCTGCCTGTGGATTCTGGGAGAAAGAGCGGGAAGGGGGGTGAAGCTTCATCAAGCATACTCATTCAACAAACAGTGATTACACCTCTCCTGTACGTGGCCAATATGGGGAGAGAAGGAACAGAAACAAATAACTCTCTGCTCATTTTTTTCAGAAAGGAGAGAAAACTGAGATTTGCTGAGTGCCCTCAATGTGCCAAGTATTGTGTTGGGTGGTATCATATGGCATTTTTCTTAATCTGCACAAAACTCTGAGGAATGAATACTAATATTATTATTTTACTGATGAAGAAACAGAGGCTTGCAGGAATTCAGTAACTTGTGGGTTGGAATCCGAGTGGCCCCTGTTTGACAGTGGGTGCTCTCCTCCACAGCATCCCCCTTCTCCTGTGACCTTCTAAGAGGCATGGATCAAGTCCCTTGCCTGTCACACCTTCAACAAGTACCTGGCTGGGCCTACAAGCTCCTCTTTTCCCTCCACCCCCAAGCCCCAATCCGAAAGGAGTCCCCCCCAATAGAGCATATCTAGGAAGTGGAGAAATGAGATTACAGGTTGGGGAGCCCTGTTTCAGAAGGCCCCCCCAACGTCATCTGCAGCACGTGGACCTCAAAAAGTCCTTCTTAAGAGGGGACTAAGAGAGTAATCATTCATTCATTCCGAAAACATGGGGCCAGCCCCTCTGCGCTGGAGCACGGGTGACACTAAGATGCATGAGAATGGTACCCGGCCCTCCAGCCACCGCCCCCACTACGCTGGACTCACCCTCTGGCTCCTTGTATCTGACCCCCCACCTCCCTCCAAGCGGCCAAACAGATTCCTGCTCGCTTTCGGAAGGAACCTGTGGGACGAACAAGGAGCAAGGCTGGGCGAAGGGGAGGCGAAACCTGGGGGACGCTGGGGGGCGGTCTCAGAGGACGCGGAGAGGCTGGAAAGGAGCGGAACGCGAGGGGATGGAGTGCCGGAGGGCAGGCCGGGGGCCATGGGGCGGGGACTGAGCTCCCCCATACCCCCAGCTGGGGACTCAGTGGGCCGCGAGGCTGACGTGGGCTAGGGAGCGGGTCTCCGCCCATCAACCGCGTCCCCGCCCGGCCCCTCCCGCCGGGGCCCTCGGTCCCTTGTCTGTTCCCTGCGCGGGTTCCTACCTGGGCGCGCCGAAATCTTCGCTCCAGCCGGAGATCCGCGGGGGCCCGGTGCCTCGGCCGCCGCTGGCTCCGCCTCCCCGCCCCTCCCTGCCGCGGCCGCGCCGGGCGGGGGTGGCGGAGCCGGAGCAGGCCGGGCGCGAGGAGGAGGAGGGAGGAGGGCGCCGGGGAGGGGGAGGAGCGGAGGCAGTCCTTGCAGTCCGGCACCGCCAGCTCTCCGCTGGCCCAGGCTTCGCTCTCCTGCGTCGTACCCCTCCCCACTTCCTCCCACTCGAGCCCCAAGGAGCCCTCCGCCTGTGTCCCCGCACAACCCGGGCACACAGCCAGTCTTCCCTTCTGCCCCTACCACCCACACATACCCACCCCCACAGTGTTGCGGGGTGGACGCTGGCTTAACATATAATTAGATTTTGCAAACATTTATGGAGCTCCCTCCAAGTGCCAGGCACTGTGCCAGGGGCTGGGGGTTCTAAAGGCAAGAGAGGCAGAGATCTTGGGTTTAAGGGACTCCCAGGCTGGGCGGGGGACCGGTCAGATACGAGGGCAACTCGCTGTAACAATGCAACGTGCTGGAAAATATTTATCGGCTCACGCTGCCCTGGGGGCGCAGGGAGAAGTTGGGCTGGGGAGACCGCAAGCTCAGTTCTGCTCCGGTGCAGAGGGGAAAGGGCCGGCTTGCACGCAGCGGCTTCTCTTGGGGGACAGGTTTGGAAATGTCCTGACGATCACTGACTTTTATTGTGCAGCCCCTATGCCCCAGGTACTCCTCAGATCCGTTGACATCACATTAACCCCTGAGGCAGAGACCATTATTATCTCTGCTCTGTAACTGAGGCAACTGAGGCTCAGGGGTGGAAGGCTGTGTGTGTATGGAGGGGAGGCAGGAGATGCCGGGTGAATGAGCAGGTGGTTATGCGTCTTAGAGGGTGAGGAGTGGGTGAGCACCCTCCCCTGTTCCCCACCTGCAGAGAAAGCTCAGGAGAGGAAATGGGTCCACAGTCCCGCCCCGCACGCCCCTCCCCCAGTAGGCTGCAGTGCATGGGAAGGTTGTCAGCGGCAGAGTAGGTCATGATGACATTTTTCCTCCTTCCACAAACATCTACACCAGTGCTTCTCCAAGTGTAAGGTGCCTGTGAATCATCTAGGGGTTGTGTAGAGCCGGAGCTCTGCCAGATTCTGCATTTCTAACAAGCTCCCAGGGAATGCGATGTTCCTTGCTTTAGGACCTCACTTTGAGTCAAGAAAGGCTGCCGGAGACAGTGCTGCCTGTGGTGCTTAGTGTTAGATATCAAGAGCCATCCGATATAGGGTCAGTGACTTTTTTTTTTTTTTTGGTTTGTGCCCCTAGCGGGAACCGTACCTGGAACTCTGGTCCGCAGGCCGATGCTCCAACCGCTGAGCCAAACCCTCCAGGCCAATGTGACTTTTGACAAGAGCATCAACAAATGATGCTGGGACAACTAGACATTCATGCTTATTTGGGGGGACTGAACCCCTACTTCATACCACATACAAAGTTCAATTTAAGAAGGACCATAGGCCTAAACATAAACTAGATTGATAAAGCTTCCAGAAAAACATAGGAGATTATTTTCTCAATTTTTCAGTGGGCAAAGATTTCTTAGAAAGGACATAAAGAACATCAACCCTAAAATAGTTAATAAATGAACTTCATCAAAATTTAAAACTTTTGTTTATTAAAAAACACTATCAAGAAAATAAATAAGCAAGCCAAAGACTGAGATGAAATATTCATAACAGTAATATCTGACATAACAGTAGTATCTGGAATGAAGAACTCCGGTCAGGCCCATGTGGCTCAGTGGACTGAGCAGGGTTCACTGACTGAGTGGTCCTGGTTCCATTTCCCATTGGGACACATACCCAGGCTTGGTCCCCAGTAGGGAGTGTGGAGGAGGCAACCAATTGATGTATGTGTCTCATGTCGATGTTTCTATTTCTCTCTCTAAAAAATCAATAAAAACATTAAAAAAAAAAAAACTCCTGTAACTCACTAATAATGACCAAAATAATAGGCAAAAGATGTGAATACACACTTCACAAAAGAAGATGTATAAATAGCCAATGAGCATATGGGAAAATGCTTACCCAATGTCATTTGTCATCAGGGAAATGCATATTTAAGCTACAAGAAGGTATCACCATACATCTACCCTACGACCCAGCAATTCCACTCCTAGTTATTTATCCAAGAGAAATAAAACCATCTGTCCACAACACCTGTTCAAGAATATTCAATGCATTTTTATTCATAATAACCAAAAACAGAAAACAATCCAAATGTACATCAACAAGTGAATGGATAAATAAATAGTGGTGTATCTGTGCACTGGTATATTCACTCATCAGTGAATAAAAACCAAACTTCTATTTCAAGATTATCCCCACCGTGCAACAACATGGATGAATGTCAAATGTATTACACTGAATAAAAGAAGGCAGACATGAAAAATACATACTGTATGATTCCTGAGGTGTTCTGATCTTGATGCTGTCACTGGTCCACAGGCCCAGTTTTTATTCTTATAAGTACATATTATCTAAAGAGCTCCAGGAGAGAAATATTAACAGGCCAATTTCAAGAGAGTAGAATTGTCAAAGCATTGCTTCCTCAAAAACATCAGATAGTTCTGCAGGAGAATGCTACTAAACATTTAAAGAACAGATATCTTGCCCTGGCCAGTTTGGCTCAGCGATTAGACCAGAGAGTCCTGGGTTCAGTTCCCACTAAGGGCATGTACCTGGGTTTCAGTTTGTCACTGGCCCCAGTTGGAGTCTTGTGGGTGGCAACCACTTGATGTGTCACTCTCATGTCGATGTTTCTATCTCTCTTCCTCCCTCTCTACCTCCCTCTAAAAAAGATAATAAATAAATAAAATATAATAAAGAACAGATATCTTTACATATCTAGAACAGAGATTTTCAATCAGTGTGCTGGTTGACAATTTTTAAAACATGCAACACCTAACTCTTTAGTCAGGGATACTGACCTCTTTTCCCTTAGATTGTCAAGTTAAAAAATGACAATAGCCACCCAGTGTGAATGAATCAAAATTATACCTATTTTTTTTTGGGGGGGGGGTCAGGTCAGCAAAAAATACAATATTTTTTGGTGTGCTATAGAATTTTAGTAATTAGTTTATGTATGCCATGAGATAAAAAAAAAAAAAAGGTTGAAAATCACTATTCTAGAACATACAAATAGAAAAAATTTTTCAAAATTATTTTTATAAAGTAAGCATAGTATTGATACTGAAAGCTATCAAAGAAAGCAAAACAAAAACCCAGCCCGGCCTGGCCGGTGTGGCTCAGTGGTTGAGCGTTGAGCGTTGGCCCATGTACCAACAGGTCACCTATTCGATTCCCAGTCAGGGCACATGCCCGGGTTGTGGGCCCAACTTCCAGTAGGGAGCATGCCCCAGTCAGCCAACTGATGTTCTCTCTCATTGATGTTTCTATCCTCTCTCTCCCTCTCCCTTAATCTCTCTCTAAAAAAATCAATAAAGAAAAAAATTTTTTTAATAAAAACAAAACACCGACCCTACAAATCAATCTCACTTATGAAAAATATTCTAAAAACTATTTTAACTGACAATTTCACCAGAACACCAAAAGAATAATACACCATGATCAAGTAGAGTGTATTCTAAAAATGGCTTAATATTTGGAAATTAAGTGGATTAATATTTGGAAATCTGTAACTCCACATAAGGTAATCAATTAATCGGATAAAAAGTGAAAAATTAACATTATCTCCATAGATGCTTGAAAAGGTATCCATACATGATTTTTTTAAATGAAGGTGAACAAAAGATTAAGCATAGCCCTGGTCAGTGTGACTCAGTGGTTAGAGCGTCAGCCCATGCACCAAAGGGCCTCGGGTTTGATTCCCGGTCAAGGGCATGTACCCGGGTTGTAGGTTCAATCCCTCGCCCCTGTCAGGGCAAGTGCAAGAGGCAACCAATCAATGTGTATCTCTAACATCAATGTTTCTCTCTCTCTCTTTCTCACTCTCCCCCCACCTCCCTCCGTTCCACTCTCTAAAAACCAATGGAAAAAACATCCTTGGATGAGAATTCACAACAACAAAAAGATTAAACATAAAGTACCATAAGATCTAGCAACTCCACTCCTAAATATATACACAAGAGAAATGAAAATAAAAACACAACTTGTATAAGAATATTCAAGCAATATTATTTATAATAACTAAAAAGTGGGGGAAAAATTCCCACCAACTGACAAATGGATAAATAAAATAGGGTATAACTGTACAATGACATACTATTTAGTAATAAAAAGAAATGAAGTACTAATACATGTCTCAACATGGAAAAACCTCAAAATACTATGCTATGTGAAAAAAAAAAAATCGGTCACAAAGACCACACATTGTATGATTCCATTAATATGAAAATCCAGCATAAGGAACTCTTTAGAGACACAAAGATTAGTGGTTGCCTAGGCTTGGGGAATGGAGGTGAGGAGTGACTGCTAATGGGTACCAGGTTTCTTTTGAAGATGATGAAATGTTATAGAATTAGATTACGGCGACAGTTTTACAACTCTGTGAATATACTAAAAACCATTGAATTGCACACTTTAAATGGATTAATTTTATGGTGTGTAAATTATATTTCAAGTTGTTTTCATAAAAAGTAAATGGTCTAAATCCTCCAAATAAAAGACAAAGATTGCTCTGGCCGGTTTGGTTCAGTGGTTGGAGTGTTGGCTTGCAGGTTTGGTTCCCGCTAGGGGCATGTACCAATTAAAAAAGAAAAAAAGAAAATTGTCAGACTGGAACATTTTTTTTTTATCCTCACCAGAGAAATTTTTCCATTTTTTGTTCAAATAGAGTGGGAGGGAGAGAAAGAAAGAGGGAGAGAAACATCAATGTGAAAGGAACACATCCAGTGGCTGTCTCCTGCACGCATGACCCAACCAGGGCCGGGGACAAACTGAAACTAAGGTACATGCCCTTAGCAGGAATCGAACCTGGGTCTCTCTGGACCGCAG